TGGGAGGGTGGAGGGACAGTGCAGGAGAGGAAGGCCCTCTATGAGGTGGATTGATTCAGTGACTGGGATAATCGGGATGGGAGTGTCAGAGACAGTGTGATTAGCACAGGACAGAGCAGAGTTTAGGGCTGTTGTACATAGGGGCCACTATGAGTCGCATGCAACTCGACGGCACATAACAACAACAACATATTCTGCAGTGGTGGTGACTCCTATAGACTACCTTAAGCAGCTCAATGTGACCTTCAGAAGAGATTTGTGTACAGGTCCCTGTACATTGTGTCTTCTTTTACACTAATAATTCATACACATTGCATTTTATATAATTACTATTAACATTCAATACACCTTCAAAAAATGTTCAAACAGTGACAAAAAATTTAATGCAGACCAATAACAAATCTAACTTTTCCCCCCATTTTAAAATAGCCGTAATTTGTTCAATTATTTAAAATTCACAGTGCTCACTGTGTGCCAATCACACCCACAGTCAAAGCTTCTTGCATATATTTATCTCATTGATTCATCTTTACAAGAAGATAGTTTGGTGATTCCTCAAAAAAGCTGAACAGAGAAATTCCATATGACTCAACTTTTCCACTGCTTGGAATATGCGCTGAGAAAATGAGAACTGAGTTAAAGAAACTTGTACACCAGTGTTAACAGCAGCATTATTCACTATCACAAGAACATGGAAACAGCCCAGATGTCCAACCACAAATGAATGGATTGAGAAATTATGGTACATTCACACAACAGATCTACATAGCATGCAGGAGCAATAATTTTGTAAATTATTACCTAACCTGGGAGGGACTGGAGAGCATTCTGTTGAATGAAGTAACTCAGTCCCACAAGGACAAATATTGTATAAAACCCTTATTGTAGGGGGCGCTCTGGTGGCCTAGTGGCAAGAAGCTGCACTGCAATACCTAAGGTGTATGGTTCAAATCTACCAGATGTTCCTCTGGAGAAAGAGGGATAGTCTCCTCCTGTGCTAATCGGATCAAATTAGATTGCACACAAGTTAAAAAAAATATTGTAGATTGAGTATGAGGATCCAAGGGCACAGGGTGGAGGGGAACAGAGGGATGAGAATTTGCTGGAGGTGGGGATTAATCACAGGAGGTTGTACAGGGATGAATATGTGCCGGGG